AGGGAGAGAGAGGCAGGAAGGGGGATAGTGCAGGAAGGTGAGTTAGTCAAACATGACATGGCCTGCTGACTTGAGTTGACTAGCATGATTCGCTTTGACTTCTTGACTTCATTTCTGAGATGGACCATGACAAGCTGTGATGTGCCATGACAGGCTGTGATGTGCCATGACTGGCTGAGATGTGCCATGACAGGCTGTGATGTGCCATGACAGGCTGTGATGTGCCATGACAGGCTGAGATGTGCCATGACAGGCTGAGATGTGCCATGACAGGCTGTGATGTGCCATGACAGGCTGAGATGTGCCATGACAGGCTGTGATGTGCCATGACAGGCTGTGATGTGCCATGACAGGCTGTGATGTGCCATGACAGGCTGTGATGTGCCATGACAGGCTGTGATGTGCCATGACAGGCTGTGATGTGCCATGACAGGCTGTGATGTGCCATGACAGGCTGTGATGTGCCATGACAGGCTGTGATGTGCCATGACAGGCTGTGATGTGCCATGACAGGCTGTGATGTGCCATGACAGGCTGTGATGTGCCATGACAGGCTGTGATGTGCCATGACAGGCTGTGATGTGCCATGACAGGCTGAGATGTGCCATGACAGGCTGTGATGTGCCATGACAGGCTGTGATGTGCCATGACAGGCTGTGATGTGCCATGACAGGCTGTGATGTGCCATGACAGGCTGTGATGTGCCATGACAGGCTGTGATGTGCCATGACAGGCTGTGATGTGCCATGACAGGCTGTGATGTGCCATGACAGGCTGAGATGTGCCATGAAAGGCTGAGATGTGCCATGACTGGCTGAGATGAGCCATGACAGGCTGTGATGTGCCATGACAGGCTGTGATGTGCCATGACAGGCTGTGATGTGCCATGACAGGCTGTGATGTGCCATGACAGGCTGTGATGTGCCATGACAGGCTGTGATGTGCCATGACAGGCTGTGATGTGCCATGACAGGCTGAGATGTGCCATGACTGGCTGAGATGTGCCATGACAGGCTGAGATGTGCCATGACTGGCTGAGATGTGCCATGACTGGCTAAGTGCCATGACTGGCTGAGATGTGCCATGACTGGCTGAGATGTGCCATGACAGGCTGAGATGTGCCATGACAGGCTGAGATGTGCCATGACAGGCTGAGATGTGCCATGACTGGCTGAGATGTGCCATGACTGGCTGAGATGTGCCATGACTGGCTGAGATGTGCCATGACAGGCTGAGATGTGCCATGACAGGCTGTGATGTGCCATGACTGGCTGAGATGTGCCATGACTGGCTGAGATGTGCCATGACAGGCTGTGATGTGCCATGACAGGCTGTGATGTGCCATGACAGGCTGTGATGTGCCATGACAGGCTGTGATGTGCCATGACTGGCTGCGATGTGCCATGACTGGCTGAGATGTGCCATGACAGGCTGTGATGTGCCATGACAGGCTGTGATGTGCCATGACAGGCTGTGATGTGCCATGACAGGCTGTGATGTGCCATGACAGGCTGTGATGTGCCATGACAGGCTGTGATGTGCCATGACAGGCTGAGATGTGCCATGACTGGCTGAGATGTGCCATGACAGGCTGAGATGTGCCATGACAGGCTGTGATGTGCCATGACTGGCTGAGATGTGCCATGACAGGCTGAGATGTGCCATGACTGGCTGACATGTGCCATGACTGGCTGAGATGTGCCATGACAGGCTGAGATGTGCCATGACTGGCTGAGATGTGCCATGACAGGCTGAGATGTGCCATGACAGGCTGTGATGTGCCATGACAGGCTGAGATGTGCCATGAAAGGCTGAGATGTGCCATGACTGGCTGAGATGTGCCATGACAGGCTGTGATGTGCCATGACAGGCTGTGATGTGCCATGACAGGCTGTGATGTGCCATGACAGGCTGTGATGTGCCATGACAGGCTGTGATGTGCCATGACAGGCTGTGATGTGCCATGACAGGCTGTGATGTGCCATGACAGGCTGAGATGTGCCATGACTGGCTGAGATGTGCCATGACAGGCTGAGATGTGCCATGACTGGCTGAGATGTGCCATGACTGGCTAAGTGCCATGACTGGCTGAGATGTGCCATGACTGGCTGAGATGTGCCATGACAGGCTGAGATGTGCCATGACAGGCTGAGATGTGCCATGACAGGCTGAGATGTGCCATGACTGGCTGAGATGTGCCATGACTGGCTGAGATGTGCCATGACTGGCTGAGATGTGCCATGACAGGCTGAGATGTGCCATGACAGGCTGAGATGTGCCATGACTGGCTGAGATGTGCCATGACTGGCTAAGTGCCATGACTGGCTGAGATGTGCCATGACTGGCTGAGATGTGCCATGACAGGCTGAGATGTGCCATGACAGGCTGAGATGTGCCATGACAGGCTGAGATGTGCCATGACTGGCTGAGATGTGCCATGACTGGCTGAGATGTGCCATGACTGGCTGAGATGTGCCATGACAGGCTGAGATGTGCCATGACAGGCTGTGATGTACCATGACTGGCTGAGATGTGCCATGACTGGCTGAGATGTGCCATGACAGGCTGTGATGTGCCATGACAGGCTGTGATGTGCCATGACAGGCTGTGATGTGCCATGACAGGCTGTGATGTGCCATGACTGGCTGCGATGTGCCATGACTGGCTGAGATGTGCCATGACAGGCTGTGATGTGCCATGACAGGCTGTGATGTGCCATGACATGCTGTGATGTGCCATGACAGGCTGTGATGTGCCATGACAGGCTGTGATGTGCCATGACAGGCTGTGATGTGCCATGACAGGCTGAGATGTGCCATGACTGGCTGAGATGTGCCATGACAGGCTGAGATGTGCCATGACAGGCTGTGATGTGCCATGACTGGCTGAGATGTGCCATGACAGGCTGAGATGTGCCATGACTGGCTGACATGTGCCATGACTGGCTGAGATGTGCCATGACAGGCTGAGATGTGCCATGACTGGCTGAGATGTGCCATGACAGGCTGAGATGTGCCATGACAGGCTGTGATGTGCCATGACAGGCTGAGATGTGCCATGAAAGGCTGAGATGTGCCATGACTGGCTGAGATGTGCCATGACAGGCTGTGATGTGCCATGACAGGCTGTGATGTGCCATGACAGGCTGTGATGTGCCATGACAGGCTGTGATGTGCCATGACAGGCTGTGATGTGCCATGACAGGCTGTGATGTGCCATGACAGGCTGTGATGTGCCATGACAGGCTGAGATGTGCCATGACTGGCTGAGATGTGCCATGACAGGCTGAGATGTGCCATGACTGGCTGAGATGTGCCATGACTGGCTAAGTGCCATGACTGGCTGAGATGTGCCATGACTGGCTGAGATGTGCCATGACAGGCTGAGATGTGCCATGACAGGCTGAGATGTGCCATGACAGGCTGAGATGTGCCATGACTGGCTGAGATGTGCCATGACTGGCTGAGATGTGCCATGACTGGCTGAGATGTGCCATGACAGGCTGAGATGTGCCATGACAGGCTGTGATGTGCCATGACTGGCTGAGATGTGCCATGACTGGCTGAGATGTGCCATGACAGGCTGTGATGTGCCATGACAGGCTGTGATGTGCCATGACAGGCTGTGATGTGCCATGACAGGCTGTGATGTGCCATGACTGGCTGAGATGTGCCATGACTGGCTGAGATGTGCCATGACAGGCTGTGATGTGCCATGACAGGCTGTGATGTGCCATGACAGGCTGTGATGTGCCATGACAGGCTGTGATGTGCCATGACAGGCTGTGATGTGCCATGACAGGCTGTGATGTGCCATGACAGGCTGAGATGTGCCATGACTGGCTGAGATGTGCCATGACAGGCTGAGATGTGCCATGACAGGCTGTGATGTGCCATGACTGGCTGAGATGTGCCATGACAGGCTGAGATGTGCCATGACTGGCTGACATGTGCCATGACTGGCTGAGATGTGCCATGACAGGCTGAGATGTGCCATGACTGGCTGAGATGTGCCATGACAGGCTGAGATGTACCATGACAGGCAAGGGTAAGAAGAAAACAATAAAGTGGAACTGGATTGCTGGGAAGGAGTGTGTGCATGGGGACGTGTGGAAATGACCAAACCCAAAAAGGGCAGCAGGTGGAGGCGCGGCATTGCCAAACCTCCCTTCCGAGCCTCTCAACAGCATGCCTCTCACCTGCCGAGCCACTCCTGCAGGGCTGTGAGAAGCAACCCTCTGAACAGAAGCTGCTCTGCTATGGCTGGCTACACCGCCAAGCACAGGAACAGCTGTAGCAGGTCCAGAAGAGGTAAGGCCGTGGCAGCTGTAGCCGTGGTAGCTGTAGCAGTCACAGCTGTAGCAGTCGCAGCTGTAGCAGTCGCAGCTGTAGCAGCTACATCCCCTCCAGTCCCATCTGGCAGCTACAGAATAGAGGACCCAGCAACAAGGCTGTAGCACTCACACTATTCCCCCCTCCTCGTTCTCCTGCTCCTCCTGCTGCTGCTGCTGCTGCTAGTTCTGGTAATTCCCCTCCCCCTCCCCTCCAGCACCAGTAAACAAAAACAACTGGAGAGAAAAGCAGAGCCCATAGAATAGGTCCCCATGCTGTCCCCCCTCCTCCCCTCCAGCACCAGTAAAAAAATACAAAACTAGAGAGAAAAGCAGAGCCCATAGAATAGGTCCCCCTGCTGCCCCTGCCGCAATCACTTTCCATCAGCTATCAGTTCCCCCTGCTATCACTCCCCTCTCCCCGTCCCCATCTCCCCCACAGTGGTTGATGCAATGGTGATTTCTAAAAAGAGGGGCTAATGAGGAGAGACACACACAGACATCAGGCATTGGAGCACACCCTCACACTCAGGCATTGCCGCACACCCTCACACTCAGGCATTGCCACACACCCTCACACTCAGGCATTGCCACACACCCTCACACTCAGGCATGAACTCTTAGGCCCCGGGCACATTGGAAGCCGAAGAAGCGCATATCAGCAGCACCCCTACACTTTGACCCCAAACTTCTCCTCAAACTGCTTGTCTGTACATAGGAGAAACTGCTGCAAGCACACCATTTTCTTTGACCCCTCCAAATCCAGAAGCTGCCGCTCTGTGACTACTCTCTCCCCTGGCTCATCACTGGCTGCTACAACCCCAAACAACGGCCCACTCTTCCCTTCTTCCGCTCCCCATTCAATCCTCTCTACCCCCTCCACCTCGTCAGACACAGAACCTAGCTTGCTCCTCTCTTTCCCAGCTCCTATTGAAACACCCCTCCTGTCCCCAACACTCGTCTGAATAGCAATCTCATGTGCCACAACCGCATAACCCATTCGCACCAGTGCCAGATGTCGCGGTCTGATTCGCCGATCCAAACTGTACCCAAGAAATGTTGGGTAAGGAAGCACCTCCATTACAGAGAGCCCCATGTCCCGTTTTAAGTACTCCACCTTGGACTTGATGTTCGTATTCCAACTGTAATAGATAGACGGCGGGTACCTCATAACCAAATCCACAACCAACCGATGAGCCCTGCGTCTCTCGACACTAAGTGCTCGGGAATCATTTTCCCCATCCAAACAGTTACCTCCATTACCTTCCCCCAACCTTTGCGTCCCATTTCCCACTTCTCCACTGCTCCGTAATTCTTCTTCCACTTCTCGCACAAGCTCTCTAAAAGTTTCCCTCATGACATCTTCACTAGAAGCTAGTAGCAAAGGAAATTGTGCCACCACCCGCAAAGCATTCTCTTGGCCAATCAAATCAGCCAATACCGCCACCTTGCCTTCCACGTTCTCCTTGGATAGATAAAGAACCTGCGAGAAGCTCCTCACCATTCTCCCTGCTGCCTCCTCCCCCACCAGCTCCACAAAGAACTGGAGCTTAGCTAAGAGAGTTTCTTTGTTGAAACCGATGATGTTGGGGCCACGACGAAGCACAGAGCTTGCAATGGAGGACGAGCCTGGGGGAGTGAAGGACTGGAGTATGGCGATATTCTCTGCAATGCGATAGGGAGAATATGAGAAAATTATTGGAAAGTTCAGGATAAGCCTGCTAAGGTGGCTCTTGTCCAGATGCGGCTCATCTAGTCGCTGCTTCAGGGGGCTTTTACTGGTGATACCCGCTTCTACCTTCCGTCCAGATTTCGCCTTGAGATAGGCTGATAGCATCTCAAGTTGCGTATTCATCGTCTCTTTGCTCCGAGCCAAGATGGACGGGCATTTCTCTATAATCCCACCCAGCTTGTCCACAGGAACCCCTGCCTTCTCCACCAGAATGTCCAGGTTCGTTGAACGTGCTTCACGGCAGAGTAAGTTGCGACCACGTCGGAGCACCAGACCCAATCTGCTACGGCGAATGCCTTTACCTAAAAGAAGCTCAAGCATATTCTGAATCTGTGGCAGGGAGGAGCGGAGCCAGGCTGGGTTACTCAAAGTCATGTGCGCGATGTCAGCATCGGAAATGCCATATGACTGGAGAAGGCGGACACGTGGGAGAAAATCATTGGTGGGATTGGAGCGGAGGAGTTGCGGGTAAGTGGCGAGGAGGGAAGAGACAATGGAAGGGGAGGAAATGCCGAGGTGGGAGGAGAAAAAGCGGTAGAGGGAGAGGAGGGAGGAGCGAGATACGACCCGCCGGCTGTTGAGTGGAGGAGGGGGTGTGGAAGGAGATGTGGTGGGTGGTGCGTTCTCTTCACACGGTTCTACTTCTGCTTCCTCCTCCTCCACTTCCTCCTCCTCCTCATCGTCCCCCTCCTCCACTTTCAATCTCCCCACCCCCTCTTCGCCTTCGCTGCTTCCTATCCCACTCCCCCGTTCCTCCAACTCCTCTTTCACAATCTGAGGCCCGAATTTCTCCCTCAGCACTCCAGCAATCACTGCCACTGCCTCTTCCTCCTCCTCCTTGCAGCCTTTCGTCCTGCAGCTCTTGCTCCCGCCTCCCTCACTCTTTCCCCCCACATTCCCTGCTCTCCTTGCATCGCTCACATCTTCACCTCCCGTTTCTCCCCCCTCCTCGTCCCCCACTCTCCTGATGCTCCCCTGACTCTCTTTTCCACTCCCCCTCTCCTTGCCCTTCACTGAACGCGTTTGAAGCTCCGCTTGCACCGCTACTAAAGGTTTGGTCCTAGAAAGTGATTTCGACCCAGAAATAGCAGCCTCCGCCTCAGAAGCTTCTGCGTCTGCTGGCCTGGACGACGCACCAGCGACGGACCATGCCGCGAAGCTTCGGACGTGGGATGAGAAATTATTATGGGGCGCCTCGAAGCTTCGGCCTGGGTTTTGGATTTGAAGAGACGGGTTTCCCGCATGGTCGTTCGGATTCGATCCGATCCGATCGATGATTGGCAAGGAAGAAACGTAAGATCGCGATGCGATTCGGTGTGCTTGACGTATTCCATAGGTAATGAATCCGGAAATCGAACCGACAAATGGCCGTGACATATGAGGTAGGACTAGCCATAGCGATCGGCGGGCTGATCTATGCGAGGCGACGTATGAGTTCATGAATTCCTTTCCGTTGCCTACGTCGATTTTGTTGAGCTCTTGTGTATGCCTGAATCCTCGCTAACCCTAACTGGCTAGTGACGCGAAACGTGTCGCGTGTACGGATTTGATAATCGAAATCTGAAGACTATCGGGATGCGGTTCAACAAAAGGTTCATTCAACATTGAGCACCAAATGTTCAGGATCACTTTCAAACCGCCACCACAACGAACCTTTTGCGTCCTGTCCGAACGAACCCAGCCGCTTAGGGCGTGCTACATTTTTTGAAGTCGCTGAAAGTCCGGACGGCTGTCCGGACGTGTACGAATATTGCGACGTCGTACGGTCACGTTGCGACCAATGCGATGTCGTGAGGAGGCATCACGAAGAATGCGACGTCGTTAAGACGCTGACGAACTTACTGTCGAAATTAAACGAGTTTCGTAACCACACAATCGTCCGGACGGCTGGCCGTCCGGACGGAAAAAATGAAAAATGTAACACGCCCTTATCCAACCCCGTATTTGCTACCCGAAAGTGAACAAGCCTTCAGCACTTCCAGTAACTCCACAGCATGAGCTACCATCCCCGCTGTCGCCAGAGCGAGATTCGCGCAGCAACTCATCAGGTCCGTTCTTAGGAGTTCTTCGCTACGAACGCGCAAATACATGCGCCACCAGAGTATAGATCGGTGACGAGATGGGAGATATCGCTGTCATTTCGCACAGCCTTTATGTCGCCACTGACCACGAAAGGGGCGACGCGCGACGTTAGTATTAGGGTTACGTGCTTAGAATTGGTCGCAGAAACGAGGCCGCCCTGATTTTGCGATGCGCGACTTTCCACCGTGGGTGTGTCAAAAAGCGTGACGGCGAAACATAATCGTCCCTTCCTCACACTATCTTCAACGCAATTCTAGCGATGGCTCCCGCCGCCGCATTTGCCATTGATTTGGGTGGGCGCATGGCTGAGTTGTGGCAGCAGGTTGAATGAATGCGCGCCGCCTCAGCTGACGGTCTCTCAGCTGACGGTCTCTCAGCTGACGGCGGCAGGGCGAGGAGGTAGAGAAGCTGAGCAGGATGTGACGAGACCGTCTTCCTATCCCACCCAAATGGTGTGAATTTATGAAGGGCTGCTGTTCTCGATCTCGTCATAAACCTCTTTCCATTCATTTGTAGTTGCAACCGTGCGGCCCTCCTTTGCGCCTTTCGTCTATCAAAAACCACTATTGCGCTTCGGGTGCAATTTTTCTGGCCAGAGAAAAACCATCAGCTATGTTCCACTCCCCCCTCGCTCTCCAGTACGTCCCTCCGCTCTTCGCCCTCTCCCCCCTTTCCCCTCACTCGATTCCTTCTCCCATGCCAACAGGCAACCGCTACCAGCTGTGAGAGCTGTGAGGAAAGGAGGAGGAAGGGAGAAGAGGGGATGAAGGAAGAGAGGATGTGATGGGATAGCGCAAGCCTGCCGATTGTCATTGCCTGCGCTTCCAGCGGGGCTGAGGCACTGCGGGCGTGCAAGGGCAGAGATTAGTGCGACGTGGTTCATGCCCTTCAAAGAGTCCATTCGTAAGTTTCATTAGGTTCACTAATACTGCTTGACGCACCGTGCTTCGCCCTGAAGGATCGACGGCAGCTCGAGTGTGAATGCAAGTTCTTTGATGGGGTGCTCATCCCGGTTGAGGCCGATCGCGTGCAGATGCGTAAGCAGTACGTCTTGGAGACTTGCAGCATATGCCTTGTCGACCGTCAGCAGGGAGAGAAACTCCGTCACGACCTGCTCGCATTTCAAGTACGTGACGTACATGATAAGGTGCTTCTCGCGCACCCTATCGGTACTCTCTGTGAAAGTTTAGAAGAAAGAAGAGGGTTGAACTAGGAGGAATGAGGATACAAATAGCAAACCTTAGAAGGGTTGTACTCGTTATAAAGCACCCCACTACAGGCTAGAGCATAAGGTAACATTCTGACACACCCCCATAGCCAAAGTGGGGTGTAATCAACAGAGCAAGCAAAGCAGTACAAGCTCAGGGTGAATCACAATGTCACCACACATTCTGAGCACAAGTTCAAGAAGCAATAGTTTAGAGTTCAAAATTATGAGCAAAGCTAGAGGCTATCGCATAGGGCAAGTGAGAAGGAGAAGAGAGAGTGAGGGGAGAGGAGATAGGAGGCGACGGCTGAAGCTGCAGACATACGGGCAACAGGAGGCACACTGGCACAGTGGCTACCGGAACAACGCTCCGGAATACTGGAGTAACTGGCCCCGCGGCTAAAGTAGCGGCAGACGAGCAACGGACCCACGGGCGACTGGCACAGGTGGCTACGACTGGGCTACCGGACGAATTCCCCGGACTACAGGTGCTGCTGGCGACACGACGGCAACCTCCGTGCAACTTCCCCAAACAGTCCCACCCCCTTAACACACACCCGCTGCTACACCCCTAGCTCCACTTCCACCCCACCCCCTAGCACCACTCCGTCGAATCCCACACACCCACCCCCCTCAGCGGCAGCTGCAGCAGTGGGAGACAGAGGAGGAGGAGGAGCAGGGGAGACCACACACCCGCCACCCCCCAGGTCGCCCCTCAAGCGGCCCCCTCAGGTCGCCTCGACAGGCGACGGGAAAAGGGGGGGGGGGGGGGGGGGGGAGGCGGTGTCGAGGAAGGGGCCCACCACGGGCCTGGTAGGGTCGCCCGAGCCGTGCGCAGGCGGCCCGAGTCGCGCGCGGGCCTGGCGCCGCCCGTACGGGCCGCGCGCGGGCCTCGCGCAGCCCGTACGGGCCGCGCGCTGCCTGTACGGGCCGCGCGTAGGCCACGACGGGCGATGGGGGGTGACGACCGGGTCCCCGTCGCCCGTCGCGGCGCCTCCCGAGGGCGACGCGCCGGTCGACGGGGCTGAAGCCCGCCGCGCGCCTCGGGGCGCACAGCGGGCACAGAACTGCCGCGCGCCTCGGGGCGCACGGCGGGAAGAAAACCGCCGCGCGCCTCGGGGCGCACGGCGGGAAGAAAACCGCCGCGCGCCTCGGGGCGCACGGCGGGAAGAATAACTGCCACACGCCACGGGGCGTGCGGCACCGAGTGTAGTGATGGTAGTTGCAGCGGAAGCAAGGGGGTGGTAAGCCCACCCACAGGATCGATCCAAGGGGATCGACCTGCTCTGATAGCATGTCAGAATCCCAACCACTAGACCATTAGGATAAAAGGGCTTGTTAAGTAGCGGGTCAGAGTGCGCCCATAACCCCCTAGGCAAACACGCCTGTAACCCCCCGTAGGATCGATCGGGCATCCACAGTGCAGATCTGCTGACACCCCCCCACACTGGGAGGCCCAGGACTGAGCTCAAAGGCAACGGCCAACATGTGCATACACCAGGATTCGAACCCGAGACCTTACTAACAACATGTCAGAATCCCAGTCACTAGACTATTGGGATAGAAGGGCTTGTTAAGTACCGGGTCAGTGCGCCCATAACCCCCCAGGACAACGAGCCTGTAACCCTTCCCTAGGATCAATCGGGGATCACCAGTGGACCTCTGACACCCTCCCACACTGGGATGCCCGAAGTGCACACACCAGGATTCGAACCCGAGACCGCTCTGATACCATGTGAAAGTTTAGAAGAAAGAAGAGGGTTGAACTAGCAGGAATGAGGATACAAATAGCAAACCCTAGAAGGGTTGTACTCGCTATAGAGCACCCCACTACAGGCTAGAGCATAAGATAACATTCTGACACTCTCATCTAGAGCGATGCCGATGTAGGGACTCTGGCCGATGTGCTGCAGTTGCTCTTGACGTAGATACTTGGACGCGGCTTCGACCAACTCGGCGAAGCCATACCTGCATGTATACGGTGCATATGTCAGAACGCACACGAGTGTCAGGAAACATAACCTTGTCAAAACATGACTTCGAGATTCTCACTTTGAGTTGTAGCTTCCACGCTGATCAATCGGGAGGTTCGTGCAACCCATCTCCAGCATGAACTTGATGAAACCGATGTAGGAAGAGATTGGTGCCTCGAATTGGCACGTGAAAATCGCCAATTTTAACGACGCGATAAGGTGAAGTGTCTTCTTGTTGAGTCCCTGGTACTCGTCCAGCATCGCTTGGCGCAACTTCCGGCTCTCCTTCGCCTTCTTAGCCCCATGCACGTCAAGATGTGCTGTAGACCGTTGATGAGTTTGAATGCTCTGCTTCTCCATGTCACGTCCACCAGCACCGCCCTTGCCGTATGTCGTATTCGCATTCTCGGCGCCAAAATCCACGCAAGTGCTGCATTTTAAAATAGGAAACCCATCGTCAGCGCGAGACAACACAAGCCACGGGAATAATCCTTGCCAGGAGTTTGTGAAGCGGTGGTGTGCCTTGGTAAACGCGAGCTCCGGATTTTTTTCTGAGGTCGTGTGAACTTCCTCCTCTTCAGTGTCTCCGTCGTTGTCAGCCACCTTGTTGCCTAGATTGGGCTCCCGTGTAAAGCTGCGCTTCCGCTAACGCCATTTCTGCGGCACGGTACTGGCGCCTGATTTGCGCTTAAGGCCACTCGACTCCCGTCCAAGCTCCGTGGGTTCTTGGAATGGGCCGACAACGGCAAGTTCTGGGGTCGTAGCATTGGAACCAGTAGTGGGTAGGGAGGGCGGATCTGCCCGCGTCTGGACAGACTCGGTAACGGGAACCGCACAAGGCCTCAGAAAGCTGAGACCTGTTCTCGGGGGAGAGTCGGAACGAGGCTTGCCGGCTTCGTCGTCATTGTTACAAAGAACATCAGCAGCCATGGAATGGAAAACGGGATGTGGCTAGCTAGCTAGCCTCTCAGACGGGAGCTGCGTGGTGGTGAGATAGTGGCTGAGCTTGTAGAAAAGACTCTGCTTGTCTGCAGAGCGTTGCTGTGAGAGCTTCCCGATGGGGTGTCCAGGGAGGGTGTGTGATGGGAGTGGGAATCTGGAAGGTTCGGTGTGGAGGGGAGTGCGTGCGCGCGCCGCACTGTGCTGTGCTATGTAGAAGGTGGGACGTGATGGGACGCGATGATGTCCTGCCACTCTGCACGGCTGCGCCGTGTCCTGGCGGTCCGGGCCGTCAAGGCGACCCGCACAGTCGTGATTGTGAAAGTTAGCCGCTAATTGCGGCAAGATTTTCGCCGACTGTTGATGTGCTGGAACACCCCCCCTCTCCCACCCCCACCCCGAAATTCGTCAATGTCAAATTCCTTTCGAGTCTTTCACGTCAGTCCGGTTACACGGACCACTCTGAAATATCAGACCATTGTGAAACATAGCTTTTTCAAAAAAGGGTCCACCAACAAACAACTCTGAAAAAAAAGGCAAAGGAAGACAACCCAGCCTTCTAGTAAGGGTTGTAAGGGTGATTCACCCTGCTAACCAGAGCCCTGCATGTGAAGCAATTGTAAATGACATGTTTGCTAAGGACGCGGTAAAAGTAGACGATCGATCGTCCCTTGCGATCGGTGTGCGGTTCGGTTACCTTGTTTATTGACGTGTAACCATGCTACAGTACATTTGTTTACTACATTTTGTGCACAGTAGATGAATGCGACTGATCACTGATCGGTGTAGTGTTTTCCCAGGTATCAATACGCAGGTGATGTCATGGTGAGTACAGCAGTAAATCGCAAATGACATGGGGGGAACAGCTAGAAGCGCGCTCTTTTTATTGAAAAACCAGCAACTAGGTTAGGAATTACGGTATTATGGGGCCATTTTTGTTGGTATGTATGGTTAGTGCGCGCTGGTCCAGTCACAGCGGAAGCGCGTCGCGCGGTGCACGTCGGTGCTGCGCGCCTCGCCTTGCGTGCGACCACCGCCCTTCCGCCAGGCGCGCTTGCAGCCGCCTGGGCGGAACTGTAGCAGCAGGTGCGGGTTCGACGAGGCGGGCGAGATGCGCGCATTCACGCGCGAGCACCGTTGGCGGCCGCCACCACTGGTGGAGGGATGTGTGGGACGCATTGGAACACCGTAGGCCCCCGCGCGTGGGACAATGGCACGGCGTAATGCGAGGTGGTACGGGATATAGGCAGGCAAAGGACGGAAAATATGCTTGCGGAAATAGGGACGGGAAATAGGCAGGCGGAAATACGGATAGGAAATAGGCAGGCGAAAATAGGGACGGGAAATAGGCAGGCGGAAATAGGGACGGGAAATAGGCAGGCGGAAATAGGGACGGGAAATAGGCAGGCAGAAATAGGGACCAGAAATAGGCAGGCGGATCTAGGGACGGAAAATAGGCAGGCGGAAATAGGGACGGGAAATAGGCAGGCGGAAATAGGGACGAGAAATAGGCAGGCGGAAATAGGTGAGAAAACTGAAACGAGAATGACTGCACTAAGGAATGAAAATGGTACAAATATGCAACCCTAGGAATGTGTACCCCATATAGGCTACCCCACTACAGCCTACACAACAATATAATTTGACACACCCCCATAGGCAAAGTGGGGGAGAACAAGGGGTCACAAGACCAGTCAAGCAAAGCTAAGCAAAGCTCAGGGTGGATCACAAAGTCACCACACATTCCGAGCACAAGTTCAAGGCCAGAAGGCCAGTTCACATGCAGGAGCACACACACATATATAAGGCTAAACAAGCAAGAGCAGGAGTATATATATGTGACAGTACAAGCAAGGTCAAGAAGTGAGCAAGTGAGGCAAGACAGGCACAAGACCAAGCTGAGTACAGAAGCGCTGATGATCACAAGGCGCAAGTGCCTTAGTGAAGATATCAGCAGTGTTGGCCTCAGAGGCCACGTACGCAAGTCACAACTGACCACGCTGCTGCAGCTCACGAGCAAGA